ACAACTACGGTTCTGGATAGTAGCAGGCGAGGCCAAATCCTGGACCGAAATCATGCTGCAGGTGATTCCAGACTTTATTATATCCAAGACCGCTTTTTTTGGCACATTTTTGGGGGAAGCTAAAATTGGGGGAAGCTAAAACAACTAGAAGTACGTAATCTACTAGAAATGGGTAAATACAACCAAAATCAACTCATTTGTAAATTATTTCTTAAAAATAGTGGCAAAGGCGCGGTACATTACCCCTCCTTATCCCGATTCTCTAGTTATTAGCATTATCGGCAGGCACTTTCCAACTCATGTTTCAGCTTCCCTAATTGGGGCATCTACAATTGTAGAGGCAATTGCGAGGCTAGAATTATGAAACCTCACATGGATAGACCATCCCCAAATCCCAATTTTCGCTTAGAGTAGAAACGTTAATAGCCAAACGTTAATAGCCAACTTCCAGGTCACAATAAAACATTTAATAGCCATAATAATAAATATAACCATCAATATTGATAATTCTATCGTAGAAGAGGCTTCTGTAAATAATGAGTATGTATACGAGCAGAATAGGAGGTGATAGACGAAATTAAAAAGTAATTAAATACCCATTAATGAGTATTTAACGACATTTTCTAATCACCTAATTAGGTGATTAGAAAATGTCATTAAGGGGAAATCGACTTTACAAATGCTAATGACAATCCAATGAAGTTTTCTCTTTTTATTTTTCAGAAAATAAAAAGCTGAACTGGGAATTGAACCAATATAGGTCTGGTTCAAATCCAACTGCCTTAACAATTGGACCACCAAGCCTTCACATAAAATTGTGTATTGATGTTTGATGCGTACCTCTCTTTTATTTTTCTGAAAAAACAAAAAAAGCCCTGTCGAGAACCGAGTGACGGACCTCTCGATCCGTGGATCTGGTTTTTAGATAAAACAAAACTAAATAAAAAGTCACTAGGCCTCCTATGGATAAATAGTGTAACTATAGTTATAACGTTGGTAAAATATAGATAGCTATATTTGTTTTTATATGTTTAAATCAGATAATGGTAGATGGCGTAGTGATGATACCCAACTTAAATTTTAATAAACTTAAAGAAATAAAAAGTTACTAGGCCCCCTATGGATAAATAGTGTAACTAACGTTGGTAAAATATAGATAGCTATATTTGTTTTTATATGTTTAAATCAGATAATAAAAACATGACGCCCAACTTAAATTTTAATAAACTTAAAAAGTCACTAGACGTGGCTGACGTGGTTTATAAAATTTCTTAAACTTTCCAAAAATATTCTAGAAAAAACGAGAGACGTCATTGGATCGGAAAAGTCGTTAATGGATTTTAAAAATATAAATAGCAGTTTTTAAAGCTAGTACAATCAGTTGTGTCTATACAATCGAAAACAGACAGCAAAAAAAAAAGTGTGCTAACTTTAATAACAATAGTCGTTTTGAACAATTTTTAAAGCCTGATGCATTTTATAACAAAGCACTCCCTCAAGATGGACCGAACATACAGATGGCAGCTTACGAGAAACATCGCATCCTGAAAGAAGTTAGGATACCCATTACTCTATCTGGTAATAGTTTATACTGTGTAGGTATAAACCCATACAGTAAATTTTCAATAACCCTAAGAATATGTAAAGTGGACAAGGAATATCAGGGACTTATTTTCACGGAAAATGACTGATGAAGTTATGATGTGCATACCAAAGATTCTGGATAAAGACAATAATAGTGAAGAATGGCATCTGCAAAACTTTTTAATAACAATCGTACCTTTTATTACATCGATGGTGAAGATAATGAATAAAAAACAGGGGCATATGATATAAACTGCTCGTCATAAAAATCGACGCACCTAGTTTTTTGGAAAATATTTGAAAGCTCGTTATTGGAAAATTACTAAATTGATTTTGAAAATCTTTGGAAATTCTGAATAGCTGATTCTTTGACTCTTATGTAAAATTTTGGGAATACGATATTTTGCACAAAGCATTATACTACAGGCTGTTAAACGAAGAGATGTATTTTTTCCGAAATTTTAAGTTATTCCCATTCCCAGGCAGTTGAGTTTGATAGTCGTAAATTACAAGTTACAATATTTTCAGTATCTAGCTACAGTTACAGTTACTTACCAAAATTTGTAGCTAGATACAGATACAGATACATATTTTATTGCAGTAACTAGTTACAGATACAGTTACCGTCAAAAAGTATCTAGATACTTTAAGATACATACAAATTAGATTTTGCTTCAAAAATTTAAAATAGAAATAAAAGGGAATTTTTAATACAAGTACTTATTTTTATACATACCATTTTTGTAACAAGATTCTTTAAATTTAAATTGTAAACAAACTTTACCTGTCAAACGTGCAGATTACAGAAAACTGTATCTACCACGGTTTTTAAAACCTTTTATAACCAGTTTAGTATATTTCTTTACTCAACGAAAGTAAATTTGTTAAAAAATAATAATAATATTAGTATGACCATATATTATATGGACATACTGTTGGATGCGTTCAGAAATTAAAAATTGTGTCAGAAGTGGAAGTTGACATGTTTTCCTTGTCTCAATAAATAATAGTCGCAGTTTAATTAAAAATGTATCTTTGTATCTTAACACACCTAGTTACTTAGAATTTGTAACTAGTTACAGTTATAGTTACTAGATTGGGATAAGTAACTAGTTACACAAACAGATACATAAAAATTATCTAGATACTGTATCTAGTTACTTGTAACTAGATACATTACAACACTGGTCGTAATACCCCTTCCTAATATAAGTAAGGTAATCCCTCGAAACGTTTTCGAGATTTTGTGAATATCGCGGCTTACTACGATTATATTTATCGAAAATTGTCGTTATTTCCCGAAAATTGTCGTTATTTCCCGAAAATTAACCATTCCATTGTAACCTAGTTGAGGATTATAAAGAATAATAGTAATAATAGGTATGATACAGGAGATTTTCTTAAATGTATCGAAACTAGGCCTAAAATTAATTATTATTTATTATTTTTAGAATTAATTTATAAATTTAATTATTTTGTATACACAAGCATAGGAAATAGATTAGAAATGGTTTTAGATACAAATGCATTCTTTTAAAAACTGCATAGAAATAATAAAATAATAAAATTTACATACTTTTTGTTTTTCTTTTATACACCTTATTTTTATTTAAATATATGTAATAAATAAATAAATTTTTGTTCAGTCTTTTAAAATCATTCCATAGTTAAACATAAAAATGGATCTAAGATTTAGACACCCTTTTACAGCAATTATTGCGGGGCCTACTTCTAGTGGAAAGACAGTGTTTGCGTTAAATTTTATAAAAAATATTAAAGAAACTTGTAATATTCCATTTATTAATATAATATGGTATTATGATGAATTTCAATTAGGATTTGAAGAAAACAAAATAAATATTAAATATATGCAAGGTCTGCCGAATATTACAGACTTTAATGGTTCGGAACCAACTTTAATTATAAAAGATAATTTAATGAAAGAGACTGGTAGTGTTATTGTAGATATATTTATAAAAGGAAGCCACCATAGAAATTTAAGTGTATTTTACATAACACAAAATCTTTTTCATCAAGGAAAGGGTCAGAGGGATATTTCGTTAAACGCCAACTATATAATTTATTTTATTTTCCCGAAAATGCAAGATTTATTCAAGAGGCATATAGAGACGCTACTACTACACTACATGGATATTTAGTAATAGATTTAAAACAAGCAACACCGGAACCTCTTAGAATCAGGACAAATATATTACCCAATGAATTTCCGTCTATAGTTTATGTTCCCAAGAAGGGAAATAAAAACGAGTCATATACTGAATATTTTATAAATCCTGTTTAAAATGTTTAATAAATATTAAAATTAAAAACAAATTTTCTTGTTATAAATAATAAATTTTAATAAACTATTTTTCGTGTTTTGTTAAAATTTACCTTAATACTTATTAAAAACCCTGTTTAAAATGTTTAATAAAATTTATATCTATGTATATACCGGGTGTATCTAAAAATAGGCGCACCCCTGTAACTTTTTTATTTATAAAGATAGACACATGAAATTTAGCATGGTTAATTAGGATATAAAATTCCACTTATATGATTTTTTTAAACTTCCGGTTTTGCCGGAAATGATATTAACTTTCGATTTTTAAATGGAACACCCTATATATTTTTACATATTTAGAATCCTGAGAAAATTCTGAGTCGGACAGCATCCTCAAATTGACCTTTCGACGTTTCGTCATCAGAAAATGCATCATCATAAAGATTAATCTAGAGTGCTTTGAACTATTTGAGAAAAACGAATTTTGACAAGTTTAGACTGCTGGGAATAGCTGAATAACAACTTTCTAAGGCAAGTTCCATTTTTCAGGCATTGTGTTAATCCATTAGAAGAAAATAATAATAGTTCAAAGCAGTCTAGATTGATCTATGATGATACATTTTCTGATGACGAAACGTCAAAAGGCCAATTTGAGGATGCTGTCTGACTCAGAATTATATATAATATTTAATATTAACATTAAAAACAAATTTTCTTGTTATAAATAATAAATTTTCAAAACTATTTTTCGTGTATTTCGTTAAATTTTACCTTATTACTTATGTTTAAAATTTATTACTTGTGGAGTTTACGATTATGAAATAGTAGGTATAAAAATAATAAATATTGTATTAATCCTGTTTAAAAATATCATGTTATAAGTAATAAATCTTAAAAACTATTGTTAAATATACCTGAATACTATTTTTAAAAGTTATTTTAAATGTGTAGTCTTTAAAAGGTGATTATGAGAAGCGATTAAGAAAATATTTTTAGAACAGGTAGATTATACTTAGCATATCAAAGGTAATAATCACCTTCAAAATTGATTATATAAACCCTCACAAGCTTTCTATTATTACTTCAAATTTTAAATTTGAAACAGTGACTTCCTAGTTTAAAGAGTTTAATAATGGCTTCTCAAACTATTAAAAACATTGTTTTGATTAACGAATATGAACATGAACTCCGGAGATTCAACCTAACTGCTAGGCGGTTTGAATTTAGATTTCTTGATTACAATGGACAAGGAACACCTATTGACTGGCTAAGAGTAAGTATTTTTAAAAACAATAAACATTGTATAAAACTATTTATTTTTAAAAACAATAACAAAATTGTATAACTTTTTTTAATTTTAGAGAGGTTTAAACGCACTTATTAATAATGGTATGCGTGGATTCGAAAATAATGATAGAGTCGGTATCACTTTTTTCAACGCCGATTTTCCAGATAGGCCATTACCCATGTCGTTTAGGAGGAGAGATCAGATATCTACAGATGCTATATTGGATACTTTGGGCAAAGTTTTGCAGAGTAATGCAAACTTTTTTACTAATAATTTACTGACCATGACAATTGATCGGTTCCAGTTGCCCAATGGTAATGGCGCAGGACTGGCTTTAAAAGGATCAACATATGAGGATTTTTGTGCCAAAAAGCGAGGTATCGTTACTATTTTTAATAATAATGATAACTATTGTCTGGCTTATGCTAGAGCATTGGGTATGGCCTTAATATGGATGAATTTAAAAAACTTAGAAATGATTTTATTATTTTAAAACAATGGGGATTAAAATTATGTAGGGATAGTAATGTTGATCTTTCGAACGGGGGAACTTATGATCACATTAAAAGTTTTTAAGATTATTTAAACGATTTTACGATTGTTGTGTACAGTGATAGAAAGGGGTCCGCAACTTATTTTGAGGGACCGCTTAAATGTCCTTATATATGCCCAAATTGTCATACTTCACCGCCATGGCGCGCCATGTAGAACTAAAATGGATCAAATAACTTGCGAGGCATGTAAAAGGACATTTAGAGGTATTGAATGTTTAAATATTCACAAGGAAAAACTCTGCTCCAAAATACATAGATGTGTGAAATGTTTAAATAGTTATTGGACTAAAGATAAGCATAGGTGTGGATATGCTTTTTGTTCAATTTGTTTAAGTGTTAAAAAATTAGGACATAATTGTTATATGCAGCCTCATAAACTATCCGAACAAACTAAATCTTCTATAGATAACGATTTCCTGTTGTATTATTCTATGATTTTGAATGCATGCAGGAAAAAAAGATGTCCAATAACTCATTTTTACACGAAGCAAATTTATGCGTCGTGGAGCAGGTGTGTTCAAAATGTCTAACGAATGAAGATATTAATATTGATTGTAGTAACTGTGGTAAACGTCAACATATTTTTTCAAATAATCCAGTTTGCTCCCTTATGATAAAATTAAATTTATTGACAGCCTAAATTACATGCCTTTACCATTAAGTAAACTACCAAGTGCTTTTAAATTTGAAGAGGTTAAGGGGTATTTTCCACACTTATTTAATAAAACAGAAAATATAAATTATGAAGGGCCCATGCCTGATACCGATTTTTATATGGCTGATTCAATGGATACGATATCCAGAACTAAATTTTTCAAATGGTATAATTAGCAGGTATCAAATAACGTTTTATTTAATTTTAAAGAAGAGTTAGTCAAGTACTGTATATTAGATGTCTCAATTTTAAGGAAAGCATGTATTAAGTTTAGAGATTGTTTTTTAAAATCGAACAATATCGATCCCTTTCAAGAATCAACCACTATAGCCACTGGCTATTAGCCAGTGTATGTAATAAAGTGTTTCGGAGGAATTTTTTGCAACCCGAGACAATCGGTATTATTCCACATACCTGGGCTTTTAATTCATCAAAATTTACGGACTGAGCATTTTTATGATTAAGCGTTATATATACCCTTTACTTTACAGATAGTCTTATATTCATTTTTATCCGCACAATATACTTTGTAAGCATAATTTTTAGGGCCACCTCTTACAAATTCAATAATCTTACTACCCGGACCATATTCAGATAATTCATCGGTTAGCATTCCCAAGTAATCGCCAACCTCTGGTAGCCATTCACCTGATTTATGTGTGAATATAACACTATCTGTGTCAAAGTAAAGGACTCTGCGATCGAGTTTTTCTAAATAAGAATACAATTCTAACCGCGCCATTGCCGTGGTATATGCTGCTATAGCGACATAAACAGTTTTTAATGGCGGTACTGCTTCTTCATGCTTACTCCAGCATGCAAGAAGAACATCGTCACTAATAATTACCAAAGTATTAACAATGATAGAGGGGTCCGTAAGCATGTTAAATAGCTTAAAGGCTTCACTAATAATACTTGTCTGCATCAAGTTTAGTCTCTGGCCAAAACTATTTAACATGAGTTTTGCGATAAATCTCATACCCGGGTTATTTGATATTTCTAAGATATCCAACAAAATACTTTCATGTTCTAAATAGTCTTGAATATAGGCTTTTCGTGCTTCCTGTGTAGTACACCAGTTAGGTCAGCCACTATAGTGTATACACTCTTGTTTTATTTTTAAAAAATTATCAACATATTTAGAGAATAAACCGCCAGACTTGGTATCGCGATCGAATTGTGTTACTTTATACTCCCATATTTTATAAATTTCCAAGACTTTATAATTTAAAGAAATGGCTTTCCGCAGCTACAAAGGTACCAGAAAACTTACGTTCGTCATCTGTGTGTGCACATTGTTCTTGGTTCATTGTATCCATACAGGTTTTACATAACGGAAACGTAAGTTTTTTATTTTATTTATACGGTAGTACAGGGTGATATAAAGTTTGAGGGGGTAACACAGAACATTTAATTAGACCTTCTACCGAATTCATTGGTAATTTTCTGCAGTCTTTGTCACCGATGTGAATTTTAGGGTGCCCCACAGGGTACTTTCCATATTTATTTATAAATGGATATAACGAGCAAACATCAAAATAACAGATTTGTTCGTTTTCATCTGAAACTTGTATATATTTTCTTGTAACATTTGTGCGACCACCATAAAAACTGTCTCTTGGATTTAATGGTAAATCTGAATATTTAAAATTATCATCAATGTAACTTCTTACTTCTTCATTATTTTTTAATACAGACCTAAATTCGCATTCTCTAAAGGATTTCACTATATACCCTGCTTTTAAAAGTCTATCCCTTTTAGCTTCAGTTAACTCGCGTCTTGTAAACATAAAATTATATTCTTCAGTATTATTCTGAAATGAAGTGGTTTGGTGTGGAAAACATTTTTCGCACCCATGAAAATAACAACCATCGAATTCAAAGACAGTGTTGGTAGCCTTACAAAAGCCGTCAACTAAAATATTTTCCTTTAACCTAACTTCCCGACCATTACCAGCATGTATTAATTTCCCTGGATGTGAAGCCTCTTTCCAAAACAACCACTTTAGCGCTATTTCGGATTGGTTATCGGCACGTCTAATGCTGAAGCGATATATGTCCACAACAGTCGTAAAATTTGTATTACGGCAAATTATAACGTTATATCGCGATCCGAGAATAAAATTTATCGTACATGCTATACCAAAAGACAACGGGTTGAAAATAGTTACGATACTGTGCCTTACGGATACAATGACCCTTTGATAAACCAAAACGTTTTGGTTTATCATCAAGAACCCCCTCAGACTGCGGAAACCTCTCAGCCAGAAGAAGAAGCCTCTCCGTCCTGTGAGCCTCCTCTGTTGGAAGAAGACATACTGCTAAATTAACTCCTCTTTTGGATGAAAGGTTAGATTTTAGAATGATGATGATTAATCTATATTTTATTTATTATATTTATAAAGAGACCCAGCAGTTAGAAGAAACCCCTCATCTAGAAGAACCCCCACAGCCCGAAGAAGAAGAAGTAGAAGAAGCCCCTTTCTGGATGGACGGTTGGGTTTTAGATATATAAAAAATATATTAAACTTTATATCTATTTATGTATATTTATAAAAATTTATTTATTATATTAAAAAGAATTTTATTTATTATCATTATTATAATTGTATGGTTTTTGTTTTACTTATTTTTATTTAATAACATTTATATTATTTATTTTCGAAAGCTTTAATTTGTTAACCTATTTTTAAATAAAACATGTTTTAACTTTTAAAAAATGTATTTTTATTTAATTTATAAAACAGTTTTCTTACAGCATTATCATTTTTATTTGTATTAAATGTTAACAAATCTAAAAAAATATTTAGATTGTATTTCTTACTTAAACATACTAAGCATAAAATGCACAAACAGTTGAATATAAGCTTTGAAGAACATTGTATATCCATTTTCTAGAATTCTTATTTAAAAACTTTTTTGGTTGGCCTTCCGTAACTATCGAAAAAGTATCCATAACCATTGTTATTAATAAAAACAGCAACCCAGTGACTTCCAGGCATATTATCAGGATCTTCATTAATAACTGCAGCACACGGTTTACTTATATAATTTGGTATACGATTTAAAGCGTAAACTCCTTTATGAAAGTATGTTGGCAAAAACGAGTGTAAATATTTAAGCACTTCATAAGAACGCATTTTTAACCTTTTATGTTTGAAGGTACAAACAGTTATACTAAAATATCATAGGTACAAACAAATTTAAGTTGAAATAAAATACAGGTTTACGGATTGGTATTTAGGTTTATTATTATTATTATACATAAATACATTTTAAAATTAACTACTATAATCTACAACTACATTTCTATTCCTATCTAAATATTTCAATTATACTATCGAATTCAGCATAAATAATACAATTAACTGTTTCAAGAAGGGCTTCTTTAAAACGCACTTCCAAACGCAAACTACCATTACGAATGAGATTCCAGTGAGTCATAGTATTTGCAGCAAGATCCGGAGTTAAATCAAACGCTGTCAGGCAGAAACTATTAGGATATTCGTCTCTACTTATGCATAGACCATTATTTGAAAAATGAATACCAGTACCCGAAAATAAAGTATTGTACGATCTTATACAATTTTTACTATCAAAATCATGCTGAAGTGGTTTAGAAGGAATTTGCTGTCCATCAATATACAGGGTGTTTCTTTTAACTTGAGACAGCTCAATATCTCGAGAAATACGCATTTCACGGAAAAATGTCTTAAATAAAAGGTTAATGTGACTAAAGGGGACATTATTTGGTGCTACCGCTAGCCACCCCTACCCCTCCTTAAGGGTGAAACGGGGGGTAACTTTGGAAAGTCAAATGGAATGACCCGATTTTTTTCAGAGTTTGGTAGTACATAAAAAAACGAATAACTTTTATTTGAAAGTTTTTTTCAATTTATCAACAGATGGCGCTGTTTTCCGGGGTTTCCTTGTAAAATGTATTATTTGAAACGTTTGAAAAACAAAAATTAACATTAACAACAATAGTCGGCTATGAAAACAATTTATAACAAATGTTCGAAATGTCGTTATTCCATTTCAACACATTTTTGAATGCGGGTAATGAATTCTGGCACACAACGCGCCAACATATCGGGCGGTATCGCCGCACAGGTGCATTAAATGGCGAAAAGTACCGGAATTTTCTAGAAAACGATCTGACGGACCTTTTGGAGGATGTACCACTAGCACGGCTCCAAAACATGTGGTACCAGCAAGATGGTTGTCCTGCACATTATTCGATAATTGCTCGAGAGGTGTTGGATCGGGAGTTCAATGGCCGGTGCACCGCGGTGGATCGGTAGACGTGGTCCAGTAATTTGGCCTGCTCGATCACCTGATCTTACGCCACCAGACTTCTTCCAGTGGGGTTACTTGAAAGAAAAAGTTTACGCTGCCATTCCTACAACTTGGGAAGACATGGTGGAGCGGATCAGGAACGCCTGTGCGGCGATACCGCCCGATATGTTGGCGCGTTGTGTGCCAGAATTCATTACCCGCATTCAAAAATGTGTTGAAATGGAATAACGACATTTCGAAAATTTGTTATAAATTGTTTTCATAGCCGACTATTGTTGTTAATGTTAATTTTTGTTTTTCAAACGTTTCAAATAATACATTTTACAAGGAAACTCATTTTTCTTAAATTTTGAATTACAGCGCCATCTGTTATAAATTGATAAATTGATAAATTGAAAAAAGTTTTAAATAAAAGTTATTTATTTTTTTATGTACCTACTACCAAACTCTGTGAAAAAAATCGGGTCATTCCATTTGACTTTCCAAAGTTACCCCCCGTTTCACCCTTAAGAAGGGGTAGGGGGTGGCTAGCGGTAGCACCAAATAATGTCCCCTTTAGTCACATTAACCTTTTATTTAAGACATTTTTCCGTGAAATGCGTATTTCTCGAGATATTGAGCTGTCTCAAGTTAAAAGAAACACCCTGTTCATATCGTAGTGTTTAAAATTAAATGGATTTTTCGTAAAATCTCCATTAAAAGCTCTATTTGATACAAAACCAATCACACACATTTTGGGTAATTGACCCAAAAATATATTATCCAAAGATTTTTTCTTGAACACCTGTAGGTATAGTAATAACTTTAACGTCTACTCTTGTTATAGGGTATTTAACAGGTGCTACTTGTAAGGCTTTAGCATGAGCTAACAATACAGAAGGGTTAATTTTTACTCTTCTTATTAAAAGACTAGCATCCAAAATTTTAAGTTTTGGATCCATATCTTGAGGGGCCATTAAAACAAACTGATCCCGCAATCGAACTAATTTTACACGAAGTTCAAGACCGTTCATTAAAACTTTTCCTGATTAAATATATCGCCCCTAAGCCTGCCTATTAAATTAACACGTTTACTAAATGATGTAAACTGAGTTCTTTTTGTATGTCCAGTGTTACTTTCGTTTAATATATCCATTGAATTAGCTGTATCTAAATACCATAGACTTGAAGTAAGATGCGATTTTGCTGCTTCAGGGCCATAATTGAGTAAAGTTTCTATATACGATCTATATGCGTAAGGGTTGTTTGGTGGCAAAATTAATTTTTGATTTAAATAAACATCAACTTGACTAAACATTGAATGTAGCAAATTATTAACAGGTCCTATTGATTTTTCACCCTCTAATTCATTTTTTTAATTGGAATTATCTGGTTTACATATTTTAGCTTCTATATGCAATAAAGTATGGGACAGATCCCAATATTCGTCGCCTATACCAGGTATAACAAATTCCAGAGGTGCTTGATCGGTTAGAGATGAAAGAGGTTTATAATGAATCCACTGTCCTGACTCTATACTAGTTTGAGTTGATGGTATAGCAAATAAGTCCAGTTCACTTTTAATACATTCACAAGATTGATTATGGATAAAAGACATCGTTTTTATTCATTTAACCAAAAATATCTTCAAGTTTTTGTTTTTTAGATTTTCTTATGTTCTTACTGCAGATGGTTGATGGTTTTGATTTCTTTTAGTCGTTCTCTTTCTTTCTATATGTTTATCAGACCCCACTATGTCGTCAACTTTTTTCATGGCTTTAACTTGTAAATTTTTTGTGGTTGGGTTGGGTTGGGTTGGGTTGTTTATTGTTTGGTAATTGTTGTTAAATTGTTGCTCGAAGGACCATAAAACGATGCTTGTGTTTGTTTGATGTTGTGGTATTGTTGATTAAAACCACAATAGTGTATGGTTTTTAATTAGATATTTATTTACACATAACTTAAACTAAAACTATTTAAACAAGTGAGATAAAAACTAGATCATTGGCGATCAATTTGGGTAGTCGATACTGCCCATGTGTTGCAATGCTGCTTAATTGAGTGAGTGTCACGATTGTCGTCCTACAGTTCGGGTAGTTTTAACCCCCCTCGCTACTAGACATATGATTGGCTTGCCTCTACAGTGGGAGTGGCAATATAAGCCTGCTTAAATTATACTTAAAACTATACATTTACGTTATAACGAATTAAAATTAAAACTTTGCTTTAACATAAGCCGGCCACCTTGAAAGGTGTACCTTTCAAAATATGAAAGATTCAACTAAAGTATATCTAATATTAATTACTGGTAAACATAAACAAAGAGTGCACAACACTAAGGGCCGGTTTTTCAATAGTTGGTTAAGTTTATCTTACGGTTAACTTTCTTAGATACTATTGTGATAACAATTGTATCTAAGGAAATTAACCGTAAGATAAACTTAACCAACGATTGAAAAACCGGCCCTAAATATGTCAAATTGTTGACGGTACACTAATTAATTATAAAATACTTAAAATTATAATAGTATGTATGACAAAAAAACTAAAAATAGAAACTATTACTTAAATTATTCAGTTCATTCACTGTTATTGTCCTCTTCACTTTTGGGGAAAAGGCAGATTTTATTAATTGCACGTTTCACTATTGCACCGTTAGGTAACTTGAGAGACACTACGCGAACTAAATTATCAGGACCGGGATGAAGTTCGATAATCCTGCTCATTGACCATTTTTGCGGTGGTGTTTTGTCCTCCTTGATTAGGACAAGTTCACCGACATTGACATTGCCGGCCTTTTCAAACCTCCATTTTGTCCGTACCTGGAGATTCGACAGGTACTCCTTGGACCACCGTTGCCAAAACTGTTGTAGGCAATGTTGGGTCCTTTGATAACGATCCAGTCGATTTTCGTGAATGTTGGTGACGTCATGTTGAGGTAACGCCATCAAAGAGTCTCCGATGAGGAAATGACCGGGAGTAAGGGGAGCATAATCGTGAGGGTCATTGGACAAAGGGGTTAGAGGACGGGAGTTTAAACATGCTTCTACCT